TGAGATGTATACAGGATGACAATCCCTCATTGTAGCTTGAAATATGCATGTAGTCTTTATAGGAAACATGGTGTGGACTTTTGGAGTCGGGCACCGGCTATTGACCAACGTAATGTAATTTCTAGTGAACGAGCCTAACTTGGATGTTGGTGATCTCAAGGTAAAGACCTGTTAAGGTTGAACTTGGTGATTCCACGAGAAAAGAATAAAAGAGTTGAGCTCAGTAACTCATTAAACCATAGACCCACATCTGATGCTTATATAACATTGAGTTGTGGCTTACATATGTGTTCCGTCACTACCAAATGGTAAATCAAGTCTCTCCCGTCATCGTAAAATGTTTTGTGTCATACCAAAACCCCAGTTAAATAAATGAAATGGATTGGCTAAAGCTATGTTCCCTGTTTTGAATTCACTATCCTTTAAGCCTAACACTTTTTCAAATAACGTGTATATCAGGTTCACTTAGCGATGGGGCTCTGAAGTCTTGTGCGGAGAGATAGGATGTCGTTAGAGGCACTTTGGTGGATGATAGCTTTGGCCAATTGGCGTTATTTACATTGACAGGATTTCTTTTGGGAGAAGATAGGGACATATGTCTATAATTTAGACTTGGAATAGTTTAGATTAGTAGATTGTTATTTATCCTCTTTATAAACTGGGTTGTAAACTCCATTATGTTTCCCCATTTTCGGTGATTTCACATTTGATAGGTTCTATTTCGATTTAAACATTTGGTTTAAATTTACTCATATTTTAGGGGTATTTCAGAACCTATGTTTCTTCGTTGGAAATAGTCTTATGAACTGAGTGCAAGAGAATTTCGTTCTTTAACACCTACAAAATATTTTACGCATATTCACATCTTGGTTAAGAAACACTCATGTGTATTACTGTCGTGCTCCTTTGCCGCCCCCATTACCTCTCAGGTCCGTTCCTGATATTTTATAGACCGTGGACGAGATGTAAAAAATCCCTTTGATAAGTATGAAAAAAAAATCTTCAATATATTATTTTTATCATAAAGAATAATATTGAATTCTGGATATACTAATAATTCAAATAAAACCATTTTTTCGAGTATTCCTAGATAGAAAATCAATCTATAACTACTGCCAAATTAATATTATCTACCATATCATTTTACATGGCATCGTCAATCTGTTCAATCGTCAAAAACATCCTATGATATACCTGTAATATATAGATTGACATTATTTAAGTCACAAGGTTGATTATTCGGACCAACATTCTAAATATAAATCAGTTGGATTTTCATATCATCTCATATTCATGTTTTTCATCATCGTTTTAAACTTTTAAGCTAGGTTAAAGTAAAAAAAAAATCTAAGCCATCAATCTTATAATCAAAAGCCCATGTTGGTTATAAATTGAGATCTTATTATCATAATAAAGATAGGAGAGTACTTAAGATTAATGCACTCAGTATTAGGTACTAAGAAGTCAATAATATTTGGAAAGATAATGGTAGTTTTGGAATACTAAATATAAATATAAGTTGGACCGTCTCATATGGTTGATATTTTTTTTTTCCAAAAAGTAAGAGTTTTCTTATTTAATAACAAGAAATCTACTATATTCTAGTATTTAAAATTCATGTGGACAAAATAATCAAAAAAGTCAATGGAAGATGAATGATGGAGAATATATCAAACGTTTTCTAAGCAAGTAATTTCAGACTTCGATACCAGATAAAAAAAAACTTAAAAAAACAATAAACAATATTATAAAATGAACTGTCAATCGATAATGACAGTGAATGTATTTTATAGTTATTACATTTTTAACAATGCTTAGTTGCCATTCCTTTTTAAAGAAATGCATATGCCATGTTATCATGTGCATGTTAGGCCCCACAATCACGATGTTGATAAATGGTTTCATAAAAAAAGGAATCAACCCCAATTTGGTTGCACTTTAATACAATTTACTCTTTGTTTATCAAATACTTACCCGGTAAACATTTACCGGTAAATTTAATACTGTCATTTATTTACCGGATACGATTTTATTTTGGCTATCTTTGTCGAACTAGCTCATAAGGTAACTGTTAGCTGTTAAGTTAACTCTTAATTCTACATATCTTGTGTTCTTGTTTGATTGAATGTGACTTGACTGGGATTTATAAGTTGGCTGAAAAACTATCTGATAACTAATCATGTTTGACAAAAATTAGCTGATAAGATAGTTGACAAATGTAAAACAATTAAAAAGGGCATATTAAAAGTTACTCAATTCTAGCATTTACATAATATAATTAAAACAAGAGTAAACTTCACTTTTGGTCCTTGGGATTTAGTGATTTCTTTGAAACTGGACCTGAACTTCAAAAATTCAAGATGTCCCTAAGATTTGGATTTTTCTTTGAAAATGGGACTTGGTTCTAACGTCGTTAAAAATGTTGTTAGAGCCAGGAGTAAAATCGTCCAACCATGTTTGTCTCCCTTTTTACATTTTTATATGTTTTTTTTCTTATTTTTGTAAAAAATCATCAAATTTTAAGGACCAACTATGCAACTAAGGGGCCGTTTACCAAACAACACTTGCCAAGTAAGCGTTTATCGGTAAAATCTAACACTATCAATTACTTACCGTGTAAGATTTTAGTCCACCAAAACGATATCGTATGCAACAATTTACCCAATAAGTGCTTACCGTGGTAAGAGTCGTTGTCATCACTTATCGGGTAAGACGACTCTTGGTTCTTGTCTCGCTCTTACCGGGTAAGACTCTTGGTCCTTATTATATTCATTCGATAAGATAATGTGACTTGGTAAGCGCTTACTGGCGTAAGCATTTGGTAAACGGCCCCTAACACACACACACACATACATATATATATATATATATATAGAGAGAGGAGCGATCAAATGAAAACCACCCTCATTTGTACAAACAGTACAAACCACCCTCATACGTCGATTTCATTGTTTAATCTTATGAAATTTTTTCATGAAATTGTTTAATCTTGTGAAATTGTTTCATATAATACTTTTTTTGAAGAATTTGTTTCATATATGTTTATGAAATTGTTTCATATAATATTTAATGAAATTTTAATGAAACTGTTTCATGTATTTTTTTTAAAATTAAAATAATGAAGACGATAATATCCATGATTAACACTCTCCACAATAAAAATGGTTAACCAACCTCTCATAATTACAAAAAAATGAACAAAATGAAAAATTATGATTGATTGAATATGGTTTTCACGGTTTATACAAATATATATATATATATGTATATATATATATGTATATATATATATAGGGTTGGGTTCACGTGAGACCARYCTRTTTTCGTGAGACCCGTGAGACCACATTTTTACACGTAACCTTCACAGCAAAAACACTGTGAAGGTTTAAAAAAAAGTCGAACCTTCACAGCAAAAATACTGTGAAGGTTTAAAAAAAATCGAACCTTCACAGCAAAAACACTGTGAAGGTTTTAAAAAGTCGTCTTCCAAGTGTAAAAAGCTGGTCTCACGGGTCTCACGAAAACAGTCTGGTCTCACGTGATCCCAACCCTGTATATATATACATACATATAGACCAGCTTTTTACACTTGAAACTTCACAGCAAAATGCTGTGAATGTGACTTTTTAAAACCTTCACAGTGTTTTTGCTGTGAAGACTCGACTTTTTTCTAACCTTCACAGTGTTTTTGCTGTGAAGTTTACATGTAAAAATATGGTCTCACGGGTCTCACGAAAATAGGTTGGTCTCACGTGAACCCAACCATATATATAGGGTTGGGTTCACGTGAGATCAAGAGTTTTTCGTGAGACACGTAAGACCAATTTATGTTCATTGATCAACTTTATAAGCTAATGATCTAATGGTCTAAAGTTTCAAGGTGACAATTTTGTAATTATTGAGAAGTCTTGTGGCATTTATGAATGTTCTGATCTGACGATTGTAAATCTAATCCAAGGTTTGAGAATTGGTCTTACGGGTCTCACGAAAAACCATTGGTCTCACATGATCCCAAGTCTATATATATATATATAT